TGCGATAGAGCAACTTCCCTGGGATTGGATGCCTCAAACTGGTTCAACAGTACTGGACTCACCTCCGTATGGTAAATGGCCATGACAGCCGTTACCGGCAATCTAGAAACTTGAGATAGTTTTAATATGATTAATGCATCAGTTATACTAAAAAGACAATCACAAACCGGTCCAGGTTGGATCTTGGTTAAAAAGTCAGCCAAGTTCTCAGCGGAAATGACCCATTCAATTTGTAGGATATCAATTGCGCATCTTGAGTTCTTGACAACGGACATATTGTCAACACAAGTATGACAATAACCTTGGATTGGGACACCCATCATTGTGAGCTTGAATCGTAGTCCCTCAAGTAATTTGACACCTGTATTTAGAGCAGCAAATTCAGAACCAAAACTGCTTGTCTCTGTTGGGATATGACGAAATATGAGTTTTTGCGTTCCAAAAGAAACTATTCAAGTACGAGGTTTTCGACACGTACGATCGGACTTTGATCGTGATGTCGGGATTCAACGCAAGTCTGCCGGACGCAAGTCTGTCGGACAATCTGTATCCACGCAAACAGGAAAAGATCCTATACAAGTGGAATATTGATGTTGTGTACGATGCAGTAGGGAATAATGCAAGATGTCCCAAAGTACTGCATTCAACACAGAATTGTCGTAGAAGTCGAATCAAGTTCTGTAAACAAGGGATTTTCCAAGGGAAAATTGTTGAGCTCACTTTTGTGATTGAATCATCAATTCAAGCCAAACATTAATCAAATAGGAACAATTTCACTCAAAGTATACCTAGACACAGGAGAACTATTGTCGTGAAAGTGTTGTACAGTCGATTACGAATTTAGATGCAAAGAGTTTGTTCTGAGCGCTAAAGGCACTCACGATAGAGCACATTTTGCTTTATTCTAACATTTAATCACAAAAGGCAACAACACAAATTTACGTCAAGAACAGCACTGCCTTATCTACAAAGGAGTGGGTGATTCGTTGACTATGGGAAGTTCTTCTTCTGGTGGAGGAAAAGGACAGTTCGAGATGGAAAGTCGATCGACTTCAATGCAATCGCTCCAACATTGAATGCTCCAACTCGAACTGAAGCTGTTGCAAGAGAAACAAGGATAGCTTATGTTTCTCTTGCAAAGCTCAACGAGAACATGCAAAGATCAGCCTACTTCAAAACAAACAAGCATACTGTCAAATCAAACATCATGCTGAAGGTTGTGACGAAAGCGATGGATATCAAGCTCTGAGGTGAAGCCGATTTCACGACTACTCTTGAAGATCCAATCGAACTCTTGAAACGTATTGAACGATTCATGAAGAAGAGTGCTGATGCTGAGTGTGACTTCTTAGATTTCTGGGAAGCCAATCAAAAGTTCTTTGCTATGAAGCAAGGAACAACCGAAAACTTGATGCATTTCAAGGAACGATTCTTGAGACAGGCTGAAGTCCTCCAAGATCCATGAAAGTTGAAAGGGGTTCGGGGCAAAGCCCCGTACATTTTCTACAGAGAGAACCCAACTTTATTGAAACCTCTATTGATGCACCTGCACTACTACAACTATTCATAGGTGATATGCCAATCACAATATATAGAACACAAAAAAACTGAGCCAAACTGAACCATCGTCATTGTTCTGGACCAGGCTGCAGCAGTTCATCAGCAAGCTTCGTGCCCATGACATCAAATGTCATTGCCAAGGGTCCAAGACTAGGGCAATCATCAAAGTCAAAGTATGGGGTGAATACTACATCAAGATGGCTGAACTTCACATAGATACAGGAAGATGAATGGACTTGATCCTGCTAATAGCATTGGTGAAGACAAAATTGCAAATGAAAACTTGCAACGCTATGTTACAGGTTTTTGCTGTTTCCTTTGCACAACTCCAAGCAACAGATCCCAATTGACAAGAGTTCCTTGAAGCAGTATTTTGGCCAACACTTTTTGGATTGACGGCGGCAGTGTAAGAATCATCCTCATTTTATTGACAAGGCTGATGATTGGTTTCCTGGATGGTACACAAAGCTTTGGGCGGTTCTGAGCCCACCAAGTGTACTAGCTAGTACTAGGTTTCAATTAAAAATGGCCCAAAAAACAATGTCATTGTATCCTGAAACATGGACTAGCTACCATGAGGACAAAGAAATTGCTGACTATATATCAGCAACCAGTAAACATACTAGTTGGAAAATGCATGGCAGACGGCTGAAAACTCAGTTCTGTCAAAAGGGCTTGGTCATCTTGAGACACAGCTAGCAGCCTCTCACAGAGAGCATCTGAATACTAAGAAGAAGCTAGCATTCATGAAGACACCTGATCATGGTATTGCTGACAAGAAGATTCTTGCCAAAGAGACTACATTTTTCAGACGTGAGCATGGATGTTGTGGCAGCATCTACTAGTCCATCATCATGCACACGCCTTTCTGCACTACTAACAACACCACACACACAAACTATGAGATCGATCAAAACACCTATCTCTGGTGGGAACCATTCCGATAAGAAACTTGGAGATGCAGGAGTGACATTGGCAAGAACTTGTATCGTGACCCTTCGTCATCAAAACAATCAGTTACCTGTTGACAAAAAGCAGAGTTCAAGCGGTGTCAAGGACTATTTCAAGTATCTTTCTGATTGCAAGCACAGCCTTCATCTGGAAGACTATGTCATTATTCAACAACAGAAGGCGGTCTTGAAGAGTACCACCGCCACTCTTCAACAAGTGATGGACACAGCTGA